CGAATGGTATGCGACTGGCGTGAGCTAAACCGCATAACCATTAAGAACAAGGCATGCCTACCGAATATTGACGACCTCTTTGATACCGTCCAAGGCAGTGCGTATTTCACCAAGCTAGATCTGAGGTCCGGTTACAATCAGATTCGAATAGAAGAAACAGATATTCCGAAGACAGCAATAAATACCCCATTCGGTCACTTTCAGTTCACAGTGATGGGTTTCGGCCTAACAAATGCCCCGGCAACATTCCAAACCTTGATGAACAGTGTCCTCCAGCCATACCTGCGTAAATTCGTTGTGGTGTTTCTAGACGATATCCTCATATTCAGCAAATCATGGGAGGAGCACCTCGATCATGTCAGAACCATCTTAAACGCCCTCAGGAGGAATGAGCTATATTGCAAACCGTCTAAATGTGAATTCGGCCGGACAGACGTTCTGTTTCTTGGGCACCGGATAGACGGCCAATGCATTTCTCCAGATCCAGAGAAGATCAAGGCGTGCATAACTGGCCTGTCCCGACGACGGTCACGCACGTAAGACAGTTTCTGGGATTCGCTAATTACTTTCGAAGGTTCATTAACCATTTCTCGGCCATCTCCAAACCCCTGGAGGAACTGACAGGGAAACATGTGCGCTTCGAGTGGAATCAGACTCGACAGGAGGCATTTGAGCGATGGAAGTCTGCTCTGCTGGATGCACCAGTGTTGCGACTAGCAAACGTCAGTCAGGATTTCCGCGTTGAGACTGACGCAAGTGACTTTGCTGTGGCAGGAGTCTTAACGCAGCAAGCAGAGGACCAGTCCTGGCATCCTGTGGCTTACGTGAGCCGAAAGCTGTATTCTGCCGAACGGAATTACACGGCCGCCGAGCGAGAAGCTTTGGCTGTAGTGTACGCCCTGCAGTGCTGGCGAGTCTACCTATTTCGCCACTTTCAACTCTACACCGACAACATGGGAGTTGTCTACCTCAGGACCAAACCAAACTTAACCAAGAGAGAGGCTCGATGGATTGAATTCCTGGCCGACTATGACTACACGGTACATCACAAGCCAGGGAAGTGTAACATAGCAGACCCGTTGTCACGTCGACCAGACTTGGAACTGAATGGAATCGAGTTCTCTCTGGATGTGAATCAAGGAATTGCGAATCAGATCTCAGCAGGGTATGATAGTGACCCAGAGCTTTCGCCAGTAATCAAGCGCTTGATGGCTTGCAGCGAAGACGCCATGCATGAGCGATACGTCTGGAACAGTGTGGACCGGCGGCTGTACCTAGTAACATCGGGCGATGCTCGCCTCTGCATTCCTCGCGGTCCGGTACGGCTGCAACTGCTCAAACAGAATCATGATTGCCTGACGGCCGGCCATCCGGGGAGAGACAGGACCTACCTGAAGCTGAGCAGATACTTTATTGGCCAGGCATGAGAAGTACTGTGAAGGACTTCGTTAAATCTTGCGACCGGTGCCAACGCGTAAAGGGTAGCCAGACCAAGGTAGGACTGTTGCAGTCCCTTCCAGTCCCCGAGCAGCCCTGGACAGACATCAGCATGGATTTCATCATGGCACTGCCGCTGACCTGCCGAGGACATAGCGCCATTCTAACCTTTGTGGACCGTCTGACAAGTATGTGCACCTAATCCCGACGACTGTTCATGTTGACTCTAAGGAGGCAGCCCGATTGTACGTGGATCATGTGTTTGCTGCCCATGGCTTGAGCAAAACGATAGTTTGTGATCGAGATCCGCGATTCACGCCGGCGTTCTTCAAGGAGGTTTTCAGTATTCTTGGCGTGGAGCTAAAAATGAGCACGGCCAACCACCCGCAGACCGATGGCATGACTGAGCGTGTGAACCGTGTCATTGAGGATACGCTAAGAGCTTTCGTCAACCATAGGCAAAACAATTGGGATGAACTCCTATCGCTATGTGAGTTTGCGATCAACAATGCCGATCAAGCGTCAACAGGTAACACGCCATTTTTCCTCAACCATGGATGCCATCCAGTTACTCCCTCGAGCTTATTGACGAAGCAGAAAGCTGGCATGGACACGAATGGTCCGCTGTCATGGCTGGATGGCCGCGTAGAGGCACTACGTGAGGCACAGGATGCCATCGTGGCGGCGCAGGCCCGGCAATCATTGTATGCGGATCGAGGACGGGTGGAGGACGCCCTGAAGGAGGGGGATGAGGTGTTGGTCTTCAGGGACTTCCTGCTGACGCCCGAGGAACGAGACAGGCCTTCACACAAATTAAGGCTCAAGTGGTATGGGCCGTTCAAGGTGCAGAAGAAAGTGGCCCCGAATGCGTACAGATTAGCTCTTCCAAGAATCATTCGGGCCCATCCAGTGTTCAATATTGCTGCCCTCAAGCTGTACCATGGCAATGAGATACCGGGCCGTACTCAGCCGGCACCTCCACCCCTAACCGATGCGGATGGCCATACGCGGCACATTGTCGAAAAGGTGTTGTCGCACAAGAAGAGAGGACGGCGCACGCAGTACCTAGTGAAATGGAAGGGCTACCGAGATGCCACCTGGGAGCCGGAGGAATACTTGATGGATGAAGCAGGAAACGCTATTATTCCGCTGAAAACCTACCTGGACCGTTTTTCATAAAATTGCTATTTAATTGGCAGCCACAGTTGTATTGCTAGTTTCTACGTGTTGCAATAGAAATGTAGCATTCTGCATGATTAGGATAGTGCTTCCCTGCCAGCCAGGCGTTATTTGCAGAGGACATGCACTGGATCTTGAGTTCATCAGTGTTGTTTTCGGCTAGCATGCATTCCACATATCCATGCATGATCATTAGTTACCATAACTGTTCCTTCGAATTGGTACTGTTCTGACAGTTGAGAGGGGGGAACGGTGTAACAGATTCACTGTTACTACTAACACTAGGAATAGGATACACCTATCACCTGCTATTATCACGCTGCTGCTGTTAGGTGTTATGTCCATCATTGCTTGTTCATGTATATAAGAATGCATTATGGCAAGGATCATTGCTTATTCCAAGAATGACTACTGAAGTTAGTTGGACTGTTACAATCCCCATGACTATTCAAGGAAACTCCCTTCATAAGTATCCATTTGCATTTTTGGAGAATCCTCCAAATAAAGTCTGAATTTCCCTGATGTTGCCTTGAGCTCCAGGCGCTAGGCGTGAATTGAATACCTGTATCCTCCGTAATCCACAATTTAGCCCTATAAAGATCAGTCTATTGACTCTATTCTTATTATTCTTTCATTCAACATCATATGCCTCAACTGGTGAGCTCAGGGGGAGCGAAACAGCTGTCTGGAGGGTCATTGTCAATATCAATCTATATACCGGAATTGTCCTCGCTGTGGTGGTGGTGATGTGAGTGCAGAGTTTGGATCGGCCAAGAGAGCGCAATGTGGTGGTGTGGTGTATTGGATTCCATTATCTTATCATGCAATAGCGTTCCGGTAAAAGAGCAATGCTCGTACTTCGAAGTACGTCACTAGCGCTGCCGCTTTGACAGGATTTCTCCTAGGATCTAGGAGTTGCCCATGTCTACATGTACATGTACATGTACATCAGGGAGTCGTAAAATACCGGTATTTTACGACTCCCTGATGTACGTCTCTCTGTTTTCCCACGGACCTACAGCCATTTCATCGAGCAGCACTGTACTTGTACAATCTGTCAATCATGTACGTGATTGTAGATAAGATGTTTATTGTCGCCACAAGCTGTCATACTTCGAGGCTCATGCTGATACCGATAACTGTTCAGTCTTAGCAGCATCAAATGAGTTTAATACCAGTATGTTATCATGAAAGCCTTCCAAGAAGGACGAAACAAGGACGTCAATCACTCTCCCGGCAATGGCACCACCTCCATACTGTTATTACTAGGCACCAGGACAACGTTCCCTACTTGTAAACTCTGTGACAGTGTGGGACGGTATGAGTCTATTCACGGACATTACTGACAACTGGGTGGGAACGTAGAGCCGGGCTGGAAAAAGAATACAGAACAGGTACTACTAGTACATGACTGAGTCTCTACACTGTACATGACAGACACATGTACATACATGTATGTACAATCATGTATGTGCATGCAATTGTTAGATTGACAGCATGAAACAAGCTAGGTGGAAGACACTGTGTTCGAAAACAGTGACCTTACTACAACTTTCCGCGGTTGGCAGAGCCCCGGTCCCTGCGGACCATTTGAACCATACGGGGTATTATGCTGTCAATCTAACAATTGCGTGAACTACAACAAGGTTTATCTAATACTGGTTTACCAGTTTCGGATTATATCATTTACCTGATTACTGAGTCTGTACAGCAGGGAGTAGTAAAATAATATATGTATTTTACTACTCCCTGCTGGACAGTGTAGATCTACATGCCGATATGTCACATACATGTACATGTATGTACCGGTCCGATACGTCAGCTCAGTCCACCATCGAGAGAGTATCCATGCCGAGGCTAGAACATGAAGGCTTGAAGCGCTTCAGCTGATCAGGTAGATACATGATTTGTACACATGTTTTCACGGTTTTTGCATGCGTTTCTTCCGTCCTGATCCTGTGACGTGAACCCCAGTCCGAGCGTGAGTTGGACAGGCCAAAGCCGCGGGCCGCGAATCTCACGCCCGACCCTCCACTACTCAGATGAGTATGACTACCGCGTACCGATATCATCCGATTATAGAGCCACGCTGCGCTCTACATGACTATGTGACATGCGGTCTGCTGCTCTAACTTGTCTAAGCTACATTTTACTCGCCCTGCGGCAACGCGCCGTGGAGTCTTGTCAGAAAAGAACGACTGCCCTCCTCGTGAGCAGCGACGACTCTTAGAAGGGCGCTCGAGTTTGAAAGGTGTGCGTCGTGAGCCTTCGCACAGTTTGACAGCAGCGATGGCCATGCTGACAGCGGCTGTAGCAATCGCGACAACTGGATGCTAGAATGTGTAGTCGCCAGCTAGGGTACTCCGGGCCCGCCCCAGCGCTGATCCGAAACTACCGTTATCGCCCGACGCGAATGGCAACCAAAGGCAAAGGCAACGGAACTACGGCAAGGCTGGATATGAACGAAATTTGATTTGAACAGGGCTTCCCATACCCGGCTAGAGCAGCGCCGAACGGAGCGAACCGACTGGAGTTACTAGAAAGAGGCAGGCCATCAGCTCTCGTTCTGTATTCTGAGCGTGGAGTCAGAAAGCTTGGAAGATCCAACGCCCATTTCATCTGAAAAATCTGGAGTTTGGTCCTGGGATCGTGGAGGGTTCTTTTACTTTTAGGTGATTTGCTGTATTCATCATGTCGGGTTTGCTTCAACTGGTCGGCGATGCGGTGCGCAACAGCCCGCTAGTGGGTCGCAAAAACAACACCTACTCGATGACCCAGGCGGAGGACGACGACCCGTTCAATCGCGGCCTGACGTTCCACGTCGAGTACCAGGGCGTCGACAAGCTGCCGTTCGCCGCCGGCGCCAAGGGCGCGGAGATGAGCGTGCCGGCCATCGAGCGCGTAGCGCAGCGCTGCCGGCCGCCGTTCCGCAAGTTCAGCGTGCTGGTAACGGACAAGAGCCTGCGCCTGAAGGACCAGGCCACGAAGCAGCTAGTCGATGACGTACCACTGTACTCCATAAGCTACTGCGGCACGCACAACAAGCTGGAGCGCACGTTCTGCTTCATCGCCAAGGACGCGGACACGGACGAGATGCGCATACACGTGATGCGCGCGGCTGATCGCGCCAAGGCGCAGGCGATGATAGTCACGGTGAGCAAGGCGTTCAACATCGCCTTCCTCGCCTGGCAGGCAAAGCAGAAGCAGGCGCGTGCTCACGACACGGCGCCGGGCGCAGACTCCCCTCGCGCCCAGCGCCGCATCAATGAGCTGCGCGCCAAGCAGGAGAAGCGGCTCAGCCAGCAGGACGACGTCAGCGTTGCGGCGGTGACGACCAAGATGGCCAAGGCCACCGTGACGACAGAAGCACCGGTACCGGCGGCGGTGAGCAGTAATATCGACGACGACTTGGACGACATGTTCACGCACCTGGCCGAGTCGCGGTCTAATCCCGACCTGTTGGAGAATGACATCGGCGCCACGCCAACCGGTTTCGACTGGGAGCAGACCAAGGACCACGTCGACCCAAACTCCACGCCAAACTTGCTGGACTAAACGCGTGCACTGCGAATCCAGATTGAATAGGCCCATTGCGCATTGCCAAATATGGGTTGCATGAGTAATGCACGCGAGTACGCTTTGATCAATGGGAATGCACTGCTGAACACCCCACACGACCATACCCAGGTGGCTGAGTGGGGTGTTTGCGGTACAAATTACGCCATTGCGCAATGGGCTTATTGAATGCCCTCGCCCTATTCGGTTACGTTTGATAGCCAGCATATCAGGAAGCTTGTGTGTTCTGTGCTTGCGTGCAAGTTTGTTCTATGCAAAGGTGAATGATCGATGCCTTTGTTGGCCACGTGTGTATCTGTGTGTGTGTGCGTGCGCGTGTGTGTGTGTATTTCACTTTGTAAGTGATTGATATAATCTTTGTACAGCATGCCCCCCCCCCAAGAATCTCTCCACTATACTGAACAGCAAGTCTTACTTGGAAATACTCTATAAGCTTGACACACTACTGACCCTCTCTTCTCACTTTGCCTACACGCTCACAGACGGTACTGTTGGTATTTGTTTCACCGTGCACCATTGGCCGTTATAGCACAATGCTATCAGTAAGCTTTTTTTTTGAATATGTTGTACAAGCACACCTCTTTGCATACAGTCATGCCTCTTATGGCGTTATAATGACAACGTTCTCGTATTTATGATGCTGATGAGCTGCATGGCTTTAGTGTGTATTTGCTGCATAGCTTTTATTCACACTCTCCTGGCTACTCAAAATCTCACAAATGTACATGTACTATGGATACTTCGAAGTATAACTATGCCAGTCATGCGACTTTGAGTAGACAGTTCCTGCTTGGGTCTAGTTGTAGAATTCTCCGGGCATTACTACCACAGTAAAACCTGTAACTAAAGACCACCGTGACTAGCGACCAGCCTGGTACTACAGACCACTTTGCCAGGCACGGCACAGTCTCACATTCATTATTATGGTTGTGCGGTGCAAACCTCTAACTAAGGACCACCTGCCACTAAAGACCGCCGGCTTTCTCTGGCTTCAACGGGTGGTCGTTAGTCACAGGTTTTACTGTATTGGGAGGAACGTTATACTGTAAGTCTACAAATTTCCGCCCCATTCAAATTTCAGCCTCCCAGGGCTAAAACCGATTTCGGCCGCATCACGTTTTCGGGCTGTACTGCTGCCGCCTGTATACACGTCACACTGAACCTCGAAAAACTAAACTTCGGCTGCAACAAATTTTCGCCCAAACATGACCAGGCCGAAAATAGCCGAAAATAAAATTTATCAGACGCCGAATATATTTTTCTTGGCTTACAGTACTAAAGGTTCATTGTACAGGGCTGCATGCAGGGCTTTGACCGTGTGCATGTCTGCCTTGCATGCATGCCTACACAGTTAGGTCCACAGTGAGCATCGAACACCGTAGAAACAGAGCAGCCGGTATGCGGTTGGCACGGCATGACGTAACGAATGGGATAGATAGCGATATGACGTGACAAGAACAGACAACGGCTCAATGCTGTGAATCTTGGCTCGGCCAGACTTGCCAGTTGACCACGAAATGTGGCAGTCCAAAACTGAGCTCGCCCAAGAACAGGGGTGCTGATGGCGAGGTAGAGAGAGGGGGGGGGGTAAGAGCAGGCACGTGCGCCGTATGGGTTCCTGGGTGCCCGAAACCCCCTTTTTTTCGCTCAAAATGCAGGATTTTGCTTCATTTTTTGAAAATTTTCCCGGGGGAGGCCCCCGGAACCCCCCCCCCTTGAAGGGCACCTGCGCACGCGCCTGAAAAGCATACATTTACAGTACGTCCTGGACCCATCCTGCACACATATGCACCTGGACCCATCCTGCACACATATGCACCTGGACTGTTCCTGGACCCATGCGCACATATAGGCAACTGCATCATTCCTGGACCCATGCTACACACATGGAACCTGTACTGCTCCTGAACACATGCTATAACCTGGACTGTTCCTGGACCAATGCGGGACACATGGGCACCTGAACTATTCCATAGGCACCAGTAATATCTCTGGTTCGTGCAGACAATAAGCAACTTGATATGCATTCCCAAAAACAGGGCTTGAAAGCGATGACGCCAGAAGTCAACAAACAACGACTTCTGGGTCAAATTGGATCCACTCTGTTCATAGCGGAGTGCTATCCGGGGGACAGATCCCTCACATTGCCATACCCTGTTGTGCCTTCTTTCAGCACCAACAATGAATAGGCCACGGAACACGTACATATCACTAATCATAATTACATAAGTGGGTATACCCAGGTTTCAACAGTGCTCAACACCACAGGGGCGGAGCGTAACCACAAAGGTCAAAAAGAATGGTTTCACCAATTATAGAAACATACGTTGTAACGCTGCGTTTCATGCACGTAGCTAAATGCTAAGGCAATCATCAGACAACTAATCATAATTATAACATCAACTTCTCCACAAAGGCAGAAGAGAACAGAGACAATCGGCTACGTCATTGCTGTAACGCTGCGTTTCATGCACATAGCAAAGCTAAGGCAATCCTCAGACAACATCAACTTCTCTATGGCATACCGGTAGACCCATAGGTCTATATGCACAGGTAAATCAGTTGTGTAAGGTCCTCAGGCCGCGTATAGTGCTCTATGACCAGTGGACAGAGCCAGTAGTACAATGATCACACAGCAATGAAGCTTATGCTGTCTGATGAGTGTTTCACACGAAACTCCGAGTAACGGCGGCAAGAGATTTGTTTGCTTCATTGCTGTGTGATCATAGCACAGGTAAATCAATGGAACACACCGGTACATGTCATCACAGAGTACCTACATGTATATGGCTGTTGATTTAACTTAACCATTGCATATTAACCATTGCATATCAAGTATTGCCGGTCTGTGAGTTGTGACTGGTGTCCTGTAGCAGTGTGTCACACACACCAACAGACCTGGGATCACTGAACGGGATACATAACGGTTGTCCCACTCATTGCGCAGGCTGAGATGCTGATCTGTTACGAGATCATGATGCTCCAACATCATGGCCACATTACAGAAATTCTTCCAAAGCAATACTTTGATGCCTGGATGATGTCATCATGGCATCACCACTTTGCTGTGATGATGTCATGACTCATGAATGTAATACATTGATATCATGATGACAGGTTGATCACTGATCAGCTTTTCTCGTATTTACCATGAGTTGCCATCAGGCCAGCATGTCTTGGATATCTGATTGCACCAGCCGCCGTACTCAGAGTGTGGCTAGACGGCAAAGCGCTGCCGATTCCGTCCTCCCTGCTGCGTCTGGGAGCTGGTGAGAGAAGGAAGAATATCAACAATGACAACTTCACAGTCTAGTGCATGTGTCGTCTGCTTTAGGTGACGAACTACCTCTTCGCACTCGCCACACACCAAAAGGACTAGTAAATTGGTTGTTCTCTATTTCGAGAGAGACCTTTTCTGAGTCATTCACATTATAACTGTATTGTGTGCGTGCGTGCGTGTGTTTGAGTGTATGTATGTGTGTGCGTACGCGTGCGTGCGTGTGTGTGTGTGTGTATGTGTGTGTGTGCGTGTGTGTGTGTGCGTGTATGTGTGTGTGTATGTGTGTGTGTGTGTGTGTGTGTGTGTGTGTGTGTGTGTGTTTGTGTGTGTGTGTGTGTGTGTGTGTGTTTGTGTGTGTGTGTGTGTCCGATATGGTGCAGTGGTATGTGCAGTCGATTTCCAATCGAGAGGTTGCGGGTTCAATTCCCGACGATTATGGTCGCACACGTCTTTCTTGTCTTTCTCGGACTCTTCCTGACTTTTCTTTCATTCTCCTGGGTGGTTACCAACAGCCAGTGTATGACGGAGTATGTGGTGTGGTGTGTGTGTGTGTGTAGAAAAAAATGGAAAAATGAAAAATAGGGATTCACTGGCCAGAAAAAGTCACTTCAAACAGCTGTGTGGTGGATACCAGGCTAAAAATAGTGGCGGTCAATTCATCAGCCTTGCAAGCTGTTGAATGGTGTAATCCCAGCACAAGTTGCTATGTCTAACATAGCTGTTCGCTATCATCGCTTCCGCGACGGGCATGTCTGAGGTCTGAGGTGTGCGTGCGCGCCTGTGCGTGCATGTGTGTGTGTGTGGGGGGGGGGGACCACGCTGCTACCCACTGTCTCCCTCTCTCTCTCTTTACTCATCAGTAAGTTGTGTACATGTAGTACTACGCGAAAGCAAATGGCTCCAAGAACACCAATCAAAGTTGTGTGTAGTGTGGTGGCATACCTGTCCAGCATTGAGATCAGCTTGTTCAGCTGTTCAATTTGCCGATTACTGGACCCCAACAAGGAGGAGAGTAGCTCCTTCGCCTGAGGACACATAATCCAGACAAGAATAAGACCATGCGTGTTCGTGCACATGCACATGTACGAATACACAGACGGGGTACAAAACCGTACTCGTGCAATCATGCACACACATACGCATGCACGTATACATACACACACACACACACACACACACACACACACACACACGCGCGCGCGCGCGCGCGCGAATACAAATGCACATCTGGGGTGTCAGAGGGCAGTGGGGAGTGGTGGTACAACCGGGGGGGGGGGGGGGGGGGGGGTGTCCCCCAGCAAACAAAATTTGTATCTTTCGGCCAACATGCCACGTTTTAGCTCTCTTTTATCACATGTCACTTGACTGTTTCCTAGGATCAGACCAATCATTGATCTGTATGAGCGGGCAATGAATCAGTCCAACGCCCGCATCCAAAGCCCGTCGTCCGTGACAACCCTGGCCTGAGACTGAACGCGCGAAATCTACGGGACGTGAACGCGGTGACTGGGTATATGTGTACGTCATGACGTCAGTGCAGTGTACATGTGAACGCGTGGTGGAAAGTGGCGGTCTCAGCTTTTCTTTTTCTTTCCTTTCAAGTGTTGCTGTGCACGAGCTCGACTTTCTAATTTAGTTTTGATTCTTTCAGGTAATGTTCGGCTGAAAGTGGTAAAGCCATTACGGCATGGTGGCCGGGCAATAATGGATTTTCAGAGCCCTCCAAGGGAGCCCTGAAAAATCCAATACTGCCCTCCCAATCATGCCATAATAATATACTTATTGCTTTTTGGATGAATTGGGCGAACCATCCAGGACGAAAGGCAGTACTGGTTGTGCCGTGTGTGACGCCCCTGCATGTGCCCTGCCCACCCGCCCGCCCGAGACCAGTCAGCACACATGCATGCAAGACACATGGTCAGTATATTCACCAGTCATTGACCGATAGAAGGAGACCAGCTTACCTTAGTGAGATGGCTGTGAGCATCGGAGAGATTGCCTGACGCCAGGCACAAAGTCCCGAGTAGTTGGTAGGATTTGCCAAGCTACACACAGACATAACCGACCAGATGTCATCAAAATAATACTAGAAACAATTTCTAAAGAATTATGTTCAGGGGTTGCAAACGAAACAACAAAGTTCGAACTCTACTTCATCCCCATGCAGGGTCTTTGCCAGTTCTTATTCAAGCAGGCTTGAAAGGAAGATGCTGATAAGCGTTGTGTGAAATGGAGACATAGATTCTCGAAGGCTACCGTCCTCTTTCGTGCCGTCAGGCAATGCTCCAGCAAGTCTCGGCTCACCTCAACCGATGGGTCACCGAAAACCGCTGCCTTGTCATGAATAACTTCTTTCAGGAGATCAACTGCGTCTTGATTCCGACTGCTCTGCACCATCAGACGGGCAATGTCCTCCTAGATATGCAGAGACGTGTGTGTGTGTGTGTGTGTGTGTGTGTGTGTGTGTGTGTGTGTGTGTGTGTGTGTGTGTGTGTGTGTGTGTGTGTGTGAGAGAGAGAGAGAGAGAGAGAGAGAGAGAGAGAGAGAGAGAGAGAGAGAGAGAGAGAGAGAGAGAGAGAGAGAGAGAGAGAGAGAGAGAGAGAGAGAGAGAGAGAGAGAGAGAGAGAGAGAGAGAGAGAGAGAGGAGAGTGAGTTAGTGAGTGAGAGTGAGTGAGAGTGAGTGAGTGAGAGTGAGTGAGTGGGAGAAAAGAGAAAAGAGAGGACTTAGTGCTTGCTTTACCATTGCTTATGTGTGGCTAAGGTGGGTCAAATCGATCATGCAGGAATATCAGCAATGCAGTGGCCCCTCCCCCTAGGGAGTCTCTTCTCCCCTAGACAGTCCTAACCTTCCTTGGCGAGTCCTATCTCCCCCCCCCCCCCCTCCAGAAAAAAGGAGCCCTTACCGTCTCCTGGAGTAGTTCCTCCCTGGAGGGTCCTACCCATCGTACCATGGTATGGAAGTGTCATTACCCAGCTGGGAAAGAGTCCTAGCCCCTCTGGCAAGCATCCCAACTCCCCACAGACTGACCGGGCTGGAGGTTAGAACACCGGAGGATGCCAAACAGCAACTCAATACATGCTAACCTGTATCTCCAACGCCTTGGGGTGCTGACGGCCGTGAAGGCGATGCAGCACCTTAAGGGCTCGACGTAGGTACGCCTCCGGTGAGCCGCCTGCCAGTGAGTACAGTTCAAAAGAGAACATGACAGTTCAGTTCAATTCTTATATTTGTATTTTAATCTGCATTAACAGAAGCGTCGGAATGTATTCGACATTGGCGCGGTCATGAATGGGTGGAGGGTCCAGGGGGTCCTCCCCAGGAAAATTGTTAGGGAAATCGGGTCCAAATAGCTCATATTCCGTTGCTTCAAAAATCCCAAGATGAAATTATTGGTACGGTTGGCCGCACCTGCCTCACTGGTTCCGACACCCCTGATTAATAGGTGCTGCTGTAGCTATGGAGTGTTGTATTCCTCACATACAACAGTGCAGGGGCATCGGAAGGTATTTTAATGTGCTACCGTCAGCCATCTGAAGTACAACTTACTTGTGGGGGAGTGGTGGCTGAGCCGAAAATTTTGGAAATTTAGATCCCAGATCAGCGTATTTCACGGGTACCTGGGGCAAAAAGTGGTACGGTCAATACCGCAGTGACCGTACCGTGTCCGACGCCCCTGTAGAGACTACACACTGACGGTGTAGAGGCCAGTGTTGTTAACCACAGATTGCTTTTGGCTTTGGGGCTACATATATTTCTATCTTTGTTTTCTGTGGAAAAAGAAGGACCAAAGGTTTACAAGTTACAAGTTACGTGCTGACTCACCGGTATCTTGCTTATATTTGTTAGTGTTGGACACAAACACACGGATAACCTGTAAACCTTTGGTCCGTATTTTTCCACTTTTAACCCATTCAGCGCTACTGGGCCTTGCCTATGGTACTCTGCATATTAAATGCTAAAAACAGGGCCAATAGCAAGTTCTAAAACTCCAGGGTTCTGGCAACTGGGGTCCTCAAATATTTTGGAAAGGATTGCCAAGACTATCAACCACAGGGTGACAGAATCGATACAGTCCCCAAAAACAATAGCGCATCACAACAGGGGACGCAAGTTTGCTCAAATTGCGTGAAATACGCCAAATGCGTGAAATTGCAGCTGAAAGATCGTTGAAAAGAGAAGAAAAAAAGACGCGTAGTGTTTCCAAGCGGGATTCGAACCAACGACCTATCGTACAAGAGGCAGGATCATGATCCAACTGACTAACAGTGCTTTTACACACCAGACAGTGCCAGAAATCACTATTATCCCATGACGTCTATAGACGTCATCCCGCGCATGGGGGGCATTTTCAATGACGTCTATAGACGTCATCAGCGTTCAATGGGTTAATCCTTGGTTCTCAAGCGGAGTCTTATTTTCTGGGTTTGCAATTGCATTACATTTCCATCCATTGTGTGTATTTTGCCCGGGAAAGAGGCTTGTGGTACGTGACAATCCAGGTGCAATTAGTTACTAGTACAAGCCAATCAAGTCTGCCTCCTTGGCCAATAGATGATATGCTACATAACGCGCAACTACATTTGGGAGGGCATTGCACACCAGTTGCATGCAGTTTTACTACGATATGTACACGGCAGGCAGGCCCTGAGCTCTGCAGGAGCACAAGTCACAGGTAACCGTGCAACTTTGAACGTTGTAAGCAACTACTCTAATTTCAGAAATTTTCGGTGCTCAATATTTTCGGTATGCGGGCAACAGGCTAGGTTAGGTGAAGAGAAATTTTCGGTACAGAGAAGCAGTTCCCTATTGGATTATGTGTGTTAGTGTTTGTTCGGTGTATTGAAATTTTAGGTATGAAACAGACGCACCGAAAGTACCGAAAATAAAAGTACACCGAAAATGTGTGAAATTACAGTACTCTGCAATGCTCTCCCAAGTCTAGTTGCGCGTTATTTGGCATATTGGAGAAGTTAAGATGCACGTTATTTCTGATGTAATGCGAAAGTTTCAGCTCGCGCTATTTTGCTCGTGCGTCGAAAAACAATGTGAGTTACCTGCAGCTCACGTCGAAGTTTGGAGTTTTACGCCAAATTTGACGTGAAATTGCGCGTCACGTCGGAAATAACGTGCATCTTAACCTCTCTACTATCAATAGTAAAAAGCAGCTTTTCTAAAATGTTATGGTGTGGCAATGTGCCGGTTTTGGTGCTGTACATCCGACTAGTTTGTGTTGATGAAAGCTGTAAGTGAAGGCACTGACCTGCTAGGAACTAAGATCCATGCCGGTTCGTGCGCACCCGCCTAGGTCTACGACTGGCTGTAGTTTGAATTATTTATGTTTGATTTATTTATTACTTATTTTGGCTCTGCACTTTCGTGTCTAGTTTTTAGTTTGCGTCATGAGGTGCAATAGTTACCTACGCGGAACTGTACTCAGTCGCGGTCGCGTATGCAAAGAGGATTTGCGTTCCGAAAACTGGTTCGGCGTTTGACTCTCAGTTGTCGAAAATCAACCATCGAATTTTCGAACGAAAGTTTACTTTGAAAGTTGAATATCATGACTTTTCTCTTCGTCACCGGTTCGTGAGCTCGGTTGACTCAGTTGCCATGGAAGGGAAAGTGACGGTCATCATCACCCAGGGAATTTTGAACTTTTTGAGCTGCCGGAATGAAATACTCAACGTCGAGTGACAACGGGTTACGTGAAGCTACTGCTGCTAGCCGTCAGTCCAATTACGCATAGTTATGTTGACGGAAGAGGAGAGAGACAGCCTGGTAGAGCAGCTGCTTTTTGTAGTACGAGTATGGAGATCTTGAAGAGGATGACCTGTTGTTATTGATGTTAGCGCTTGAGGAAGATCAGTGCAGCTATGCCTCGAGGAATTGGCTGATGAGAAATGTAACAAATGCTTGTGGAGGTTTAGGTTCACGAAGGCTGAGCTGAAAGACGTGTGCAGCTATGCCTCGAGGAACTAGATGACGAGAAATGTTTGCGGAGGTTCAGGTTCACGAAGGCTGAGCTGAAAGACATGCACAGGCGACTTCGACTGCCAGACAAAACGACTGCTCCTTGCAGAACAGCTTGGACTGGAACGGAGGGCTTGCTTGTAGTTCTCCGACGGCCATGTTACCCAAGTCGACTTGGAGATATACGCGAGGAGTTTGGGAGATCTAAGCCAGTGTTGAGCGTGATTTCAATGTCACGCTCATTCGGATACACAAGGTTTGGAGCGACTTGCTCACCAATCCAGTTCATAGACCATTGTTCACTCAAGCTGGGTTGGAGAGCCACGCAACTGCTATTGCAAGGCGCACAAGAGTTGACCTGAAGGTTATTGGCTCCAGTTATAAACGGAACAGTGCCGCCAATTTGCAGACCGTCCAAGCATCAACACTTGTGCTACAATGGTCATAAAAGAGTACACACTCTGAGATACCAATGCGTCGGTGTGGCAGATGGGCTGATATTTCACATGAATGACCCCATTGAAGGTAGACGGCACGATTCAGGAGTCCTAGCAGAGAGTGGCCGACTACAACTTCGATTTTTCTTCGAAGTAATCCCCCACCACCTCCCTGCCACTGGCTTTTGGCGCGTTCGGCCTCTTGCTCTTCGGGTTTATGGCATCGTCGCTTGTGCCGCTCTTACACTTGCCCAAGAGTGGAAGTTGCCTTGTCTCTGAGGAGCAAGGTCGCCTAGCGGTCTGCCGGGGCTACTTGTTCGGCAGCAGCAGCAGATGATTTTTCGCCAGCATCATGTTTCAAGTCAGCCTGCTCAGTCATCAGTGGAAATTTCTCCGTGAACTCTTCGTCAGACCCTGACTGCTTTTTCTTCTATAGGCCGCCTTTCTGCTGCGCCTCTAGCATCAGGAGCGTTCGATCCCGGGATCCTTTCGTGCTGATCCCAGTAAACTGTTGGTCCCCCAAGGAGTCGAGGCGGCCTGCTCGTATCCTGGGGACCCACACAGCAAAGGACTGGTGCCACCTCTCAGCTGCTGGAGAAGGATCAAATCCGTGGCCAAGTCGAATTGGATTCATTTTGAACTCAGGCGGTGAGCCAAGGAAAAAATTGAAACATGGAAAAATGTGGGCACAAGTTATGCGATCAGTACTCTTTGTCAGTTTTGTGCTAGAATGTGCACGTCTGACTGTTCAAAATCTTGCTCAGTTGGTGGACTCGGTCGCATAACTTGAGCCCACATTTTTCCAGGATAAATTTTGGTTTGTCTTTCCCGGCACTAGATGATGGTGGTAAGGAGATTGAAGACACTCCAGGCAATGGAGAAAAGGAATACAGGAAAACATGATATTTTCGGTGTATTCTAATTTCGGTGATTTCGGTAGTGAAAACCAGCACCTAAATTTAGATTACACCTAAAAGGCACTAGAGTACACACTGTATGAGAAGGGAATGCTGGTCACCTAATTCTATATTACACCTGAAACCTGGCAGGTCCCTGACACCGAAATTTTCATACACCTAAAATTCCATATTTTACAGTACCGGTTTCCATTGCAATGGAGGGGAAATATCACACATGCTAGTAGGTGACAGTGCTGATCTCGACGAAGATGCCTGCGGAGCCATGACGAGATAAGAGCTCAGTTCCTGGACTTTTTGTGAGCGAGATATAAACAGTTGGCAACTCACCTTGGTGTTGTGGTGACTCCATGAGCATGTGTGCCATACGCAGATCACACTCAGCCGTACGTTCGGATTGGCGCAACCTGGAATAGGCACACAGACACACATACATACATGTACAGAGTCAACTTTGCGTATAACGACACTCGGCAGGGCATCAGAAAAGTGTCCCTATTCGCGAAGTCTCATTATAATTATGTATTACAGCTACTCAATCTGCAGACAGAGCTGTTTCGTCCTTTGTCGACTCATCAGCGCAGCACAGAGGAAATGATGCCGAACCTGATATTACAGTTACATGGGACTTTGCTCTGGGCATGGAAATTCTGTAGTTATATCCGCAGTCGTTATTAGCAAAGTTGACTGTACTGGATTGTATTGTTACGTTCCATTTTGATCAGTCCGGCCTGTCACTCCGAGCCCTGCTGCTGACATCTAACAGGCTGGGAGCAGCTACAGTGCTGACAACTGAAAACCGAACCCTGGAGCAGTGCGCTCGCATTGCAAAGACCCAGCACGGGATTGTAACACTACGAAATAAGAGATGGCTAGAACTGGTGCTGCACTCGAGTACGAAACATCAGGTGTTGGATTTCAGTTGCCCCCCACTGTAGCTGTACACACCACACCATTGGACGCCCATCGCCGGAGGCGATGATAGCAATGCTACAGCAGAAGCCATAGCAGCTTGTGCTGGGATTGCACCATTCAACAGCTTGCAAGGCTGACGAATTGACCACCACTATTCAGACTGGCACACTCAGACACACACACACACACACACACACACACACACACACACACACACATACACACACACACACTGTCACACACAAACACACACACACACACACTGTCACACACAAACACACACACACACACACACACACACCTGGGCGAGCAACCATTCGCACGGTACACTCACGTTGTTGTCTTGAGCAGTGTGCGCGCCTCACGAATGGCCGCCATGGCATCTGTCCTTGACTCTCCAGTATTCAATATGTACACTAACAGGTGGAGAGTCAAGGTTTCCACAACCGTGACGCAATCTCACAGTGAACCAACAAAAGAACTCAAACCACCAGACCTCACTGGCCCCACAATATCACTTCATGCGCAGTACATTCTTGTGTGTAAGCCGCACCAACAGGCAACTCTGATTGACGACCATTGACACATGCATGACTCCCGTATAATATATTTATGCGGGAAATATGCTACCTGTTCATATTTTTGTTATTTAAAAGTCGCACCAAGGTAAGCCACCTCCACCATTACACTGCGCTCTTTAGCCGACTAGACCCTCCTGCCACATTTTCTTCAATGGCCGAAAGCTCTGTCACACCCTGGAACAAGGTAAAACACGCCCTAATTGTTTTGCTTTGTTTGTTTTTATTTTACTTCACCGGAAAACTGCTGCACAGGTATTTCTGGCTTCTCGTCTAAGCACACGGCTACACTCTCAATACAACATGCACATTGCTACTAAACTTGTTAAGAGATGGGCACTGGGAAGCCATTGCAAAAAAAGGATATTGTTCCCAGCTGCATGTACAGGTCGGCACAGGAGACGGTAGCAGTGGTGCTGATGGGACTTTCCGTTGCCTTGGTTACGCTAGCCTCACTCTCCATCAACTGCGAGCAGTAACTGATTGCCTGAAACACAAACAGACATTTCAATTTTTCAAACTGCCATAACTACAGTACTGGCGGGCGCTGAAGAATAGAGCGCAGAAGAACGAACCGCCTAGAATTTCACTAGGCACAGCATACCGATGTATACACAGCGTCTCAATTGTGCATAGACTGTAACACATGAAAATAAGAACGGTTCAGGCTAGGAGGCTGACCACCCCCCCCCCCCCCCCCCCAGTTCTTCGGGAGCCGACAGTACTGTATGCCATGCGGAGTGCATCGGCATTCACATCCGTTTGTGCGTCTGTGCATGTGCATTCATATCCGTTTGTGCGTCTGTGCATGTGCATTCACATCCGTTTGTGCGTCTGTGCATGTGCATTCACATCCGTTTGTGCGTCTGTGCATGTGCATTCACATCCGTTTGTGCGTCTGTGCATGTGCATTCACATCCGTTTGTGCGTCTGTGCATGTGCATTTATCAGTCAACAAATCATCACCCACAGAGTCTGCAATGGCTGCATAGCCAACATGTGTCCTTTACTTAACCAGTCTAACTTTGAATGCTAGCCCTGATGTACGACTCGTGACATCTCTAGAGATGTTGAAAAACATAAGCCAACACGAATGAACTACAAGTATTGACTTTGCAGTTTGACTTAAAAACCAGTTTGGCAGCTCCCATTCTAACACGGACGCAACCCGCTCATTCGCCAATGACTACTGAGCAACTGCTTGGTTTGTTGGTCATTGGTGGCTCTGGTGATGTGATGCATAAGGAAGACTTTTAGAATGAGCTAGGGGTGAAAGTTGGCATTGAGATCCGAGTTCGAGTACTCTGATTTTCTCCGATCGAATATTCGAGTATTCTTCATCTCCTAAGAATTACACATCAAGGGCTTTAAAAGCACATGATACAACCCTGATTGAACCGAGTAGGCGGAGTAGTAGTCATTTTTCTCGGGTATATTGGTTGGTGGGTCAATTGGGCTCTCTCTACTCATAAACAAATGTTCACCACAGTCTGCACATCAATATCTGTCGACGGCTGCTCTGAAACTGCAGATTTCTGTGGTAAATGCATGTACCATGTGTGAACGAGTACTCTGATTTATTCCGAGTACGATTATTTTTGAAAAACCCGAGCGAGTACTCTAGTATTCGGTACAACTGTTTCACCCCTAGAATGAGCAAACCGAGATGTTCTACAGCTTGTACCCTAACTTACTTTCAAGACAGACTTCGAAGACATTCAGACAGACAGACAAACGGAAAGATGTGCACATACACACACCTGTCACCTTGTATGGATGCTGTGCTGCGCGTGTATACACACACACACACACATACACACGCGCACACACAGACACACACAGACACACACACGCACACCTACCCACATACACATACACACATGCACATCTGCAAGCATGAAAGTATGTATGCACATACGCATGCAAGCACGCACACACAGACACACACACATGCATCCGCCCAAAGTTTCCTTAAACCTAACAGAATCTTCTCAAGTACCTTCCGGATGACATTGGCCGCTTCAGACGTCCTCCGCAGTGACCCAAGGGCCCTGGAGAATTTCAACAGAGCCACATGTGTAGTGCACAGGGGTGTCGGAAAGTATTTCAGGGTGGTACAGTCAGCAATCTCAAGAATAATTTACTCTGGGTTGGGGGGTTGGGTGGGGGGGGGGGGGGGGGGGGCACCCGGGATGCACAGTGAGTGTGTTCGATTATGCCCGCGAATCGATGTTGA